ATAATAATAACATTAAACACCCTGTCTGCTGACAGTCATCAACTCTTCTCTCTAGTTGTCCTTGACCAGATGTACTCTGCAGAAACTCATATGCAGGCCTAAGCATTTAACAGTCTAACTAGACATCCTCTCGCCACTAACATTTCTAATACATAAAGTATCTATCCAATTTCTATCTGACTAAAAATATCTAACACTATGATGCAGCTCCATTACAGAAACACAAGCTGGTGGAGCCCTCCAAAAAGCTCCGGGAGAACATCTGCTTTCGTCATGGTGAGGTGATGAAGATGTTCTGCCGCACTGATCAGCAAGTTTATCTGTTGGATGAACATAAAGGCCACGACACAGTCTCAGCTGTAGCAGAAAGGACTGAGAGGCAGCGAGAGCTCGGGGTGAGTCGACAACAAATCCAGCAGAGAATCCAGGACAGGGAGAAAGACATGAAGGTGCTTCAGCCGGAGGTGGAGGCCATCAGTCGCTCTGCTGATAACGCAGTGGAGCACAGTGAGAAGATCTTCGCTGATCTGATCCGTCTGATGAAGAAAAGACGCTCTGATGTGAAGCATCAGATCAGATCCCAGCAGGAAACTGAAGTGAGTCAAGTTAAAGAACTTCAGCAGAAGCTGGAGCAGGAGATCAGTGAACTGAAGAGCAAAGACGTTGATCTGAAGAAGCTCTCACACACAGAGGATCCCACCCAGTTTCTACACAACTACACCTCACTGTTACGACTCAGTGAATCTAAAGACACATGGACAAACATCTCAATGACATTGACTCAATTGGATGTTTTGCAGAGCCCAAGAGCAGAGTTGGATTCTTAACATATTCACATGAAATCACACTGGATGGTGTAGCGCAGCAGCGATATACAGGACCTAGAAAAAACCCAGCCGGCGTGGAAAACGCACTGGCGCCTTGGTGCGGTTACAACAGAGGGGAACATGGACCTCACTCCCATCTATTCACCTGGCTAATCTCCACTCCCTGGTCAACAAAATGGATGAAATTCTTCTCGTCAACAGGACTAACTCTGACTTTGCATGCTCTGCTGCTTTGTGCTTCACGGAGACCTGGCTCAGCGACTCCATCGCGGACAGCACAATTCAAGTACCGGGCTTCCAGGTGTACAGAGCTGATCGTGTAAAGGAGCTGTCCGGGAAAACGAGGAGGTCGAATCTGCTTTTACATAAATGAAGGTTGGTGCACAGATGTCAGTGCTACAGAGGACATGTACCACAGACCTAGAGACTCTTGTTATCAACTGCAAACCCTTTTACTCTCCCCGTGAATTCAACAGTTTCATGCTAATGGGAGTGTACATAACACCGCAGGCTAACGCTAG